ATTTTTTTGTTACAAGTAATATTGTCTGTTGACTTGGTGGTTAAGACATTTGCAATATATCGAGTCACGACATCGAAACCTCTCACCGAATGTGCTCATGCTTTCAGTTATGGAACTTTTATAATATTACAGTCAATCCCACTCTTTGTTGGGAAAGAGTTAGTGGTGGGTGATGTTGAGTAGCTGTCTTCCCTATAGTCTATCACTTCAAAATTAGGGACAGCCAGTGCAGATAACCACTGAGTAACTGTGCACAAATTTCATCAAATAACCAAATAGTGGTGGGTTTAAAATAAGTGGTGAGTAATGTGTGTGTAGATGAAATTTTTGTTTAATACCTGTGTAGATTAAAAGCACCAAACATAAATTAAATTTTTACAACTAAACTGAATTTTACTGATTGTTATTAAGACCATGTTTTTCTCTCATAGAAAATAACAAACTTTAGACTCAATGCACTACTTTTTCTTCTAGGCATAATCCAGACCATTTTGTTTTTGTTGATGCTAGGTCTAATCCAGTCTGTTTTTCTTCTGTTGGTTTTAGGCCTGATCCAGTCTTTTTTTTTTCAGTCCAGTAATTGGGTGAGAGGGATTTTGGGAGTGTCTAAATTCATGTAAGAAAAAAATAGCTTTTTGTGTAGCAGGAAACGTTGCAGGAATGGATTTAAGAGAGAGGTTTATGTATTTGTCAAGTGTTATCTAGATGATTCGTCACAACATCAGTTTAATTTTGATTCCTCAAGGCAGTTTACATAGTCAATGACTTGTGTACTGGAGGAAGGAAGACAGCAGCTGAAACCATGGAAACCAAATCCAGTGATCTCTACAAACATAGCAGCCAATTAATCAAAGCACCAGGAAATTTAACTTGTTAACATTTTGAAATATATTGAAATGTACTTGTACTTTGGTTATGTTGTTTATTAGTAGCATATATCTTCCCTTTTAAAGTCTTTTATAAAACATTTCTATAAACCAATTATTTTATATGTAGCTTTCCTTTAACATGTTTTAATCTAAAGCATTTTGAGATAATTTTAATCTTGTACCTAACAAAGATAAATAGATGAATATTAATATAACAAAATGCCTGCCAGAAGGCCTAAGACAACTATCTTAAACCATAAAATACCTTCTATACCCTAGTCCCTCTGTAAAATATTTAGTTTCTTGATTAGGTTCTGTTGTTTCAATTTTAAAATGAGTACGTTAAGGAACATCAGGGGGAGGGGTGGGCTTTTAACTTATCAAACTATATTCTGTTCTGATCTCCAAATATTCATTTACCTTTTTTTTTAAACTCTTATAAAGTTGCACCTTTGTAAAGCTCAATATTAGGTTTAATCTCTTGTCCTACTGCCCTCAGAATTATATATGAAAGAAAACTAATTATACTGACTATATATTACCTCAATGATTTATACTTTATACAAGAGCCTTAAATTCCTCTATATGAATAGCTTTTGAAGGATCAAACATAAAACTGTAAAATACTACAACTCGTTTTACATAGTAGCATTTAGTTACTGAAGTACAAAAATGTGCCAGTTGTTTGTGTCTGGAAATAGTGCTTTAATTTCATAAATATTAACTGTCATTTCACATTGTCATGTTTAATAGTTCTGTGTACAGAATTGATTTCAATTTGTGACGTTTTTTTTTTTTTAGGTCTTGACATCCCTCGGGACAGAGACTTTGAGACCAAGCTCAGCTGCGCAGTGTGTTGCTTATATTGCAGTAGCAGAGTTACCACATGGATGCTGGCCTGAACTCATTCATCTTTTGACGCAACATATAACGGACCCAAGTAGCTCGGAAATGATGAAAGAAGCTACCCTTGAAGCTATTGGATATATATGTCAAGATATAGTAAGTAAACTGCATGATAATATATTGTCTTTATTACAATGTGGTGTAATAAAAATGGAAAAATTTGTTACACTCGGTGAGTTTCACTAGTAGCACTGCTGATAAAGAACCATTACGACAAGTTTTATAATTTCGTACATAGTATCTATGCAGCTTAACATCAGTCTAAGTTGTGGTAATATAAACTGCAAAGAATTAGCATCAAATTATTTTAAAAATTATTTGCAAATTCTTAAAAATACGTTGATTTTTTTGTGTAGTTTATAGAGTAAAGTAAATAATAAAAAAAATATTATTGCCTCATTTTATTAAATATTACGATAATATTTAAAAAATGTTTATTAATAAACAATGCTTCAACTGTACTGCTTAATTATATTAATTATTATTTTTGATGAATAAAAAAAAAATACATATTGTTGTATTGCTAATTTTCCCCGAACTTACTCTTAAAGTGGTTATTAGTTTATTTTGCACATGAGATTTATTATAATTTGGAGTGGTTTATTGTGTTTTTTTCCATTAAGTTTTGTGTATTTTTTTTTTTTTTTCTTTATAGGATCCAGATGTCCTTGTTACTCAATCCAATGATATTTTGACTGCCATAGTTCATGGAATGCGAAAAGATGAGCCCAGTGACCACGTAAAGTTGGCTGCTACAAACGCCCTTCTGAATTCACTGGAATTTACTAAGGCAAACTTTGCCAAAGACTCTGAACGTCATTTTATAATGCAAGTTGTTTGTGAAGCAACCCAGTCTTCAAACACTCAGGTGAGTGACAGGACCTCATTCAACAGACTTGGTTCTTCAAACACTCAGGTGAGTGACAAGACCTCATTCGACAGACTTGGTAAGCATGAATTTCCAAGTTACACCACAAGGATGTTAATAGGCGCTGTTGTTTTGTTAGGCCTCACTTTGAATATTGAGTACAGTTTTGATTTCCTTCTTTAAATATGGATATTGGCTTTAAATATAGGAAAAGTTTTTGAGGAGAGCTAAAAGTATGGTACTGGGAATAGAAGGGTTATCAATAAACTAAAGTATCTTAATTTATTTTCTCTTCAGAAAAAAAGGTTAAGAGTGATCTTAACTGAGTTGAGTACGTTATCCAGGGTATCAATAGGATATATAGGCCTCAGATTTCATTGTGCTGTATTCTGAAGAAAATATGATGAGAGAACACAAGTTTAACATTTGGAAAAGACAGGTTACCCTCCAGTTAAAATAGTTTTCCCTAACAGATTATTAGCCTCACATGAAATGATTTGCTGTCGGCAGTAGTGGAGGCTGGGACATTAAAAGTTTAATAGGGAAATCAATTTTTTTACATTTTCTCAGGGGTGAATGTGCAAGGACAACCCTGAAGAACCAAATGGTCTATTGTTCAGAGTATTATGTTATTTTTAACAAGTTTAGTAGTTTCTACTTTTTAGTGATCTAAAAAACTGGACATTTTATACCTGAAAATATGGTGGTAGAGTTACCGAACTGGGGCTGTTACATCTTAAGCTATATCACAAAACGTTCTGTCATTGTTGCTTATATTATTTTTATTGAGTGAACAACTTAAAACAAAATACATGTGTTACAGTGTAAAATCTTCCTACAGGCATGTTTAATGATAAAGCTTCATTGTTCAATACTTGGGTTTAATTTTTATTAAAGATTTTCCATTCCTTTGAAATGTGAAGAGATCTATAAACCAGTTTAGAATTTCAGTTGGAGCTGGGGACTGTATCTTTCGTATTTCTGGTCATATAGTTTCAGCTGATGAGTGCATTTAAAACCGTGTTCACCCAGTTTTGATAGTTTGAATGTTATTAATTAATATAAAAATAAATAATTTATAATATCTGGTGTAAATACCCTTCCCCCCCCCCCAAAAACCTTAAGGAGTTCTCTCTCTTATTGTTGCTGTTGTTTCTTTTTTTTTAAGTATTTTAATTTCACAAAGAATTTGTTTTTGATATTTGCAATGCTCTCGATACATTTTTTTAGATATTTTAGAAACATTGAATTTTAAGTTTTATTACTCTTAAACATTTGACTTACTAACTAGAAAGTATTTATCAGTATAGAAAACCTTAATAATTTCAGGTGCGTGTAGCCTCACTTCAGTGTTTAGTGAAGATCATGTCACTTTATTACCAGTACATGGAACACTACATGGGTCCTGCATTGTTTGCAGTAAGTATTACTTTTTCAGTTAAAGATGTTTTTAATAAATGTATTTCAATAGATCCACATTAGTCTAATTAAGTAATTATTTCTTATTTACATCATTTGGCTTAGCAGAAAGCGAGAACAAGAAAATAAATATACAAGGGAAAGGAAATTATGTTGAATTCTAACATCAAACTCTGAATAGTTTTGTCAGGAATTGGTAAGACTAACAAATATAAACTATAGTGGTAACATGTAAAACATTTTCTTGAAGAAAAGTCAAGAGGAAAGAAAAAGTTTTTTTTATTGGGTTTTTGAAGTTTTAACCATTTTCTCCGTCGTAGATCACTATTGAAGCGATGAAAACTGATGTTGATGAAGTTGCACTTCAGGGAATTGAGTTCTGGTCAAACGTATGTGACGAAGAAGTAGACCTGGCTATTGAAGCTTCAGAAGTTAGTAGTATAATTTTGTGGTGCTCACAAGGACATTAATTTATGGGAAAATAAATATTAGGCAAAAATACGAGTTTATTGCTTACTAAATTCTGTTTTGTTTTTCTTGTAATATGTACTTAAGTTTTTATCATTAAGAAGTAGTTCATGGAAAAAAAGTTTATCGTTGATTAAATTATCTTTCTTTTTTTTTCTATTAGCTTATTCTCTTTGCAACAAGTGTGGGATCAGAATACAATAAAATTCTTATACCTCATGATAAAGAAAAAATAAATTCATGAAAAATTTGTAAAAAAACTGTCAGAAATATTAAACTGGTCTGACAATGCACATCTAACAGTGACAGTTTCAATGTAAATAGTATATTTTGAAAAATTTATCACAGTTTACTCTCTGTGTTAAAATGTATGTTAAAAAAGAAACAGTATTCTATTTCTAACAATCACACCATACAGTGTGTGTTACAATGTAAACAGTACAGGATTGTCCAAAATTATCTTTTCTATTTTCAGATTGAATAATTAAATAACTTAAGAAATACAACCATGCAGTTTTCAACATCTCGTAGCCCAACTGAAATAGTTTTTATTGACATGTCAGTAGACTTGTACATGTGCACCATTTGTGGCTTTCAGCACATCTAAGTGATATTTGATTTCAGTCCATGCATGCTGCAACAGTTACAGTGATGATGGCATCCATTATCCTGGTCTCTCTAGCTCTGTGATGTTTGCTAGAGATGTGTAATACACGATATCCTTAACATACCCCTTTTCCTGTACTGGCATCTGTAATTATGCTGCAAATCAAATAATGCATTGAGCCTTTCTTGCATGGTTACCATTTTAAGGGTTAACACTACTCACTGGAGTGGAAAAAAAAACATGACAATGAAAACTGTTTGAATTGGGCTACAAGATGTTGAAAGCTGCATGGTTGTATTTCCTTAGTTATTTAATTATTAAATTTTAAAATAGGTAAGATAAATTTTCAACCATTCTTTATTTCCATTTTTTTACAACCTTGCACATGTGTGTGTTAGAATGGAAACTACATATTCAATAATTAACCAAAAAATAACCACAGAACTACTTTATTTCTTATTATGAATCTAAACTTAATTATACCTAACAAACTAACAGTTAAATGCATTTAATGCTTTTTTTTTTTACCTTCTTACATTTAAACAAGAAATCTGTTAATATAAGATCTGTTACCAATGACTTATTATTTTCTTTCTTGCAGGCGGAAGAACAAGGCCGACCACCTGAACGTACATCCCGCTTTTATGCTAAAGGTGCACTACAGTATTTGGTTCCTATCCTCATGCAGACTCTTACTAAACAGGTAAATTGTTTTGTTTGTTACACAGGATCATGCAGACTTACTAAACAGGTAAACTGTTTTGTTTGTTACACAGGATCATGCAGACTTACTAAACAGGTAAACTGTTTTGTTGGTTACACAGGATCATCATGCAGACTTACTAAACAGGTAGATAGTTTTGTTTGTTACACCGGATTATGCAGATTCTTACTAAACAGGTAGACAGTTTTGTTGGTTATACAGGATCATTCAGACTTACTAAACAGGTAAACTGTTTTGTTGGTTACACAAGATCATGCAGATTCTTACTAAACAGGTAGACAGTTTTGTTTGTTACACAGGATCATGCAGACTTACTAAACAGGTAGACTGTTTTGTTGGTTACACAGGATCATGCAGACTTACTAAACAGGTAAACAGTTTTGTTGGTTACACAGGATTATGCAGATTCTTACTAAACAGTAGGGATGTGTTAAACCTTGAAATATGTGACTGAGCATTGAAAAAAAGTTTATTTTGTCTTTAAAGAAAAGTTATGATTAAAGAAAGCCTAAACTTCAGCTATTTTACAGCCTTGTTTACAAAACTCGTTTACACTACTTTCTATGGTGTGTTATATTTGAAAAATATTGTTTAAATTCTTGCAACAACCTAAATTTGAACTTCCCTCTGCTTGAGTTATATGAAATCCTGTTTTTCTTTGGCATGCTTCCTCAGAAAGATGTATACATGGTTTGATAATTATTATTGGTTATTACTACTGTCTCATTTAGTTTTATGAGAGTTAAAAACCCTTTTTTAATTTGTGAAACTAACAAATTCTTCAGTAGTTACTTTATTATACAACATTTAAAAATGCTGTGTGTTGGTCAGGCATGGCCTAATGATTAGTGTGCTCAGACTACAAATCCAAAAGCTCATAATTTTTATGTCATTGCTGTAAAAGCACATTCTGAACTTTGGGGCCATGGGTATTCTAAAAGTGATACTCAAATCCCACTATTTGATTAGGCAAGAATAGCCCATGTGTTGGCAGTGGGTGCTGTTGGCTAACAATATACTCTTTCTAAGTTAGGGGTAGATAGTGTCGTGTAGCTTTTGTGCAAAAATACTAACAATAAAAATGCTGTAATAAATGCATTTAAACTGATTGGATGAGATAGGTCTAGACGTAGTAGAAGGTTAGTAAATTTTCGTAATCGTAAGTTCCTCTTCACGGATACTACTACCCATCTTGAAAATGTGTAGTGTAATTAGATTATTATGTTGCTTTACACCAAGGGTCTTTAGTGTATATCTTGCAGCTAACATGTTGCCTGCAAAGCCGTTTCAAGTAGCTAACTGTAGTAAGAGATTTAAAAGAAATGGTAAATTATTACTGGATACTTAAATCATAAATCTTGCCAAATCAACAGGGATGATTTTACACTATTGAGTTGTTTTTGTCACATGTATAGATGCCTTTACAAATTTGTCACAACAGATTGCAGTGTGGTTACATAGTCCAGCGAGTCAACATCATGGTTCACAGTGCATAAACGTTTGGGACCCCAGTTTTAAACTTTATGCATGATGATCAAAAAAAATAAAACATATTTTTATGGTTTTTACAGTTTCTTTAAGAAACATTCATCCCCTGCTGGGACAGCAGTAAGTTTACAGACTGACAATGCTAGAATCTGGGGCTTGCAGTGGACACAGCAGATAGCCTATTTTGACTTTGCTCTAAAACAGACAGAAAATCCAAGAAGTTTTTTAGTTTCACATATCTCTACCTTTAATATTCCCTTCTGGACTTTCAGATGTATATGTTGTTTATTTTTATGTTTTAAACTCTCAGGAGGAACACGATGATGAAGATGATTGGAATCCTTGTAAAGCTGCAGGAGTGTGCTTAATGTTAATGGCCACCTGCTGCGAAGATGACGTTGTGCCTCATGTTCTGCCGTTTGTCAAAGAAAACATAGTCAATCCTTCTTGGCGGTATAGGGATGCAGCAGTAATGGCATTTGGTATGCTTTCATAATGAATTCTGATTATTATTTGATTTTATAACTTGTGTTATTAATTGTTGAATGTGTTTAAAAGGAAGGTTTCTTGAATAGCAAGTATTTCATGGTGTTAATTAAAGGTGGCAAATAATGATAAATATTATTTGAGCTCTGTTCTGTATTAAACCTTCTCATGATGGTTGGAATCAACCATTACTCACCATGAATAATGCATGTTTATGTAGGTGTTTGTAGAATATATAGCTCATCAGCAAAGTGGCTGTGTAAGAACACATTTTAGTGAAGTATATTCTTGGATTTGCTGCTTGGCATTGAGTAAGGCTAACTTTGGAAAATTCCACATTTCATAGGTGTAATGCCTTAAACAGCAGGGATTATAGTTGAACCCTAAAGTTCCTAATTTACAAAAAAAATGTTCCTAAAAGTCACTTTTTGATTAAAGAAATAACTCCCAAAAGTGTATTTTCTTTTTTGGTTAAAAGAAATGATTCCAAAAGAGTCCCTTTCTTGTTAAAAGAAATGGTTCCAAAGAGTCCCTTTCTTGTTAAAAGAAATGATTCCAAAGAGTCCCTTTCTTGTTAAAAGAAATGATTCCAAAGAGTCCCTTTCTTGTTAAAAGAAATGATTCCA